GTGTGTGTGTGTGTGTGTGTGTGTGTGTGTGTGTGTGTGTGTGTGCGTGCTTGTATGTATGTGTGTGTGTGTTTGGGACATCAGTGTAGTGAATGCAGCAAAATTGTAAAACTGTAAAACAACACATATAAAACAAACACGTTTTCTATTTCAAGTGGATTTAAACTAAAGTGCCCATTCTTTTAAGTTCAATAGATCTCAGATAGTGCCTTCGCACTGTCTGTGCTGCCTGGTCTCAGATCGTATTTGCTTCCGTTTACTTACAGAGGCCCGGTATTTCATTCTACGACAGCTGTGCGCAGCCTGCGGAGCGAAAAAAGCGACTGTCAGTACAAACAGACAGACGCTGCTGCTTCTTAAGCCCCGCTCACTCAGCCGAGGCATTTTTAGATTCTGTCTGCCTGGCTGTATTTCTCAAGTGCTCAGGCTCCTGCCAAGGGTTCCCCCCCCCCCCCCCGTGCCAAAGATAACACACACGATCAATTCACTCCCTCTCCTCTGCACGCTCACACACACTTTCAAATGACTGGCTATCTGTTGGTCAAATATGTATGATATAGATTTTTTTTTTAATCTGACAGGGCTTAATGAACTCCTTAGTGCAGGGGTTGCCAACCAGGCAGAGACCAAGAGCCACATTTGTTACTACCATAACATCATACACAGGAAGATTCCTTCCTCCCTCTTCCTCTCACACACACACACAGACACACACACCTTTGCTCAGCCAGATTTATTGTAAATGTCACACTCCAACCTGATAATGACAGAAATGGACAGAAATGACAGAACAAAGACCACAGGCCACTAACTTTTCAACAATGAAGATCGTGGGAACCGTCTCACGCAGACGTGCTCTCAGTTTAACCGAGTCCAAAAACAAAAATCTAATAATTTAATAACTATGCATGTTACTTAGTGGGCATATATGGCAGAGGTCAACAAAAAATTGTCAACTCTCCCACTCTATTAAAAACGTCCTGTGTTCATTTTCATATTTGCTATTTTCTTTTTGCTGTGCATTAGGCTCGAGTGATCTTGCTCCTACTGGGAAACTTGTTTTCATTCAGTGCGCATGCGCGTCTGACGAAAATACAGTGAGAACTCATCAAAGGGTCTGGAACCGGGCAGGGTTGGCAGGGATGGGTTGGCCAGCCCTGCCTTAGTGTGGAGTAGAAAATAAAAAACATGGCCACATCACACTTACAGGGGCCACTGCTGTGGCCAAAGTGTGACTCTGCTGTGTTCTTACATAATGACCCAACTGGCCAATCAGAGCTGGGGCTGCTCTGATGGCCGTGTTGCTACATGTAGGCTTTGCAGGGACAAGACGAACCCTGCTCTTTCTCTGCCCTCACAGGGAAAGGCTGGCCTGTCAGCGTCTGCAGGCTCACGTCTTCCTGTCAGAGACACCGGGCTGCTTCTCCTGCTGAGGCTTCTGCCCGGCCTTTGGAGCTCTCGACACATCCAGAGCTGATTTCATGCACTCACTCAGCCATTGAGCCCACGGAAGGCGGGAGCATGTTTTGGTCTTTTGTGTTGTTAATTTAAAAACCGAACACCGTCATCTCCTTTCAAGCAGAAAAAAAACCCTGAGTGACTGCCTACCAACACCATCTTTTCAGCTGTTGTAGAGTGTATACCCAGTAGGATTCGGTTCAGACTCTTACTTCACTTTCAGTTTTCTCAGCTGAATGTGGCTTTAAAAGAAAAAAAAGCAATTTGGTGTTGCAACACTGTATAAAGTTGGCTTTACTTTGATGTAATTGACTATTTTCATTGGTTTACAAGAAAGCTGTCTGAACTTATAATAATTCTATCTTAGATTCCAACAGAAATCTGACTAACAAAGCTGTCCGTCCAATTTTCACTCCAAGAAAACAGGCTAGACCACAACATGAAAATGTCAGCATACGTTTGGACTGTATAAGTGTATACGATACATTTTCAGTTTTGTCAGGGGCAGCAGCATTATTGAGAACACCACAGAGGTCTGTGCAGGCACGTGGGCTGATACGTGCCCACATGTGGTGTGGGAGTTCCCCACATACTTTTATTTGACTTGATTTGATTCGTAGTCTCACAGCAACTGAGAGCAATTGATTTTCTGGTGGTTTTCTGGTTATATTCTTATTCTGCTCATCTTTAGAGACACTATGTTGAAATATAGAACATGTAGATGATACTGACTATATGAATAACAAATCGGGTTGCTTTAAACAAATTGATTAATTGCTGTGTAAATTGTTTTGGTAAACAAGAGAATATCTATCGTTTATAAAATAACATTTGCTCAACACCTGTTGGATTGCAATACACATGCTGTACACATGCATATTTTGAATACTAGGTTTTTGTTTCGGCTTCATTTTTGAGATATGAAACCACTATATACCTCTCGTTCACCATTCACACACAGCTGCTGCTTTATTTAACCAATATTACAGCCAGCAAGCATGCAGAAACTCATTTTCACATTTTGTAATCATGTAAATGTTTACCATGATCACCGTCAGTGATGGGAATCTACTGATGGGCCTCACTTTGTGGAAATGAAGGCAAAAGAACAAGACCTCCCCGACAGGGACACGTTGAGTGTTTTTCTTTTTTCTACACTGAATCAACATTAACTCACTGAACAGAACCGTCCCTCTCCGGAATACTGAGGCGTGATGATCGTTTTGAGGGTTGATATTGAACTGCACGCGGCACAAACCTTTGGCTCGGTTTCATGGCTGATAGGGTCCTGACTGATTCTCCTTTGTGCCGACGACTTAAATGTTTGCATTTGTTTTTTTCCCAAATGAATCGTGACAGCATGCCTTTAGGTTCTTCTCATTTCTGTCAGTAACCATCATCTACGCTGAGTGAAGTGAGAGCACGTTTAGCCTACTCCAACTACGCATGTAACTAGGCAACTGCACACCAACATGCAGCGCAGAGCTCTGTAGGAGGGCTTCTTCCCTTCTGCTTAGTCATTCACAGTAAGAACACCAACAGAAAGAAGTTTTTTTCTCCAAAAATGATGAATTATTGACTGTTCAAGGATACCATATGGCTTGAGGGATTCTACACAAAATGTCCTAGTCTGGTACAGAACGCAGTGATTTGATGAATTCCTTTTGACTTATTTGCTATAAGAACTCATCCAACAAATGTGGCAAAACACCAAGCTGCCATCATCATTTATGTGCTTTTCAGTCACTTAATTAGTCACGCCCTCTTATGCAGGCAATCAATGTGTGTGTCAACTCCCCATCCCCTGCCCAAAAAAAAAAGAAAAAAGATAAACAATAAGATGGATTGGGAGACATAAATTGCTTGGACAGGCTGAAATGTGTGCATATACACACGGAAAAAATGCACAGGCTTTTACAGACAGCCGGAACAGGTCGTGAAATGGCCTTGCAGCAAATCAGAGGTGTCAGCTACTGTGGCAGTCCACAAATTTACAGCACGAGGCTGCACACTGGACTCAGAGAGTAGCAATTGCATCAGAAGTATGAAGGTCAATGTGATTAAAAGGAGGTTGGGAAAATATCCATTTTTTTCTCTTTTTTTGACAATTCAACCTTTTTTATTGTATAAATTTATATGATGAAAAGATTTGACCATTGCCTCACAGAGAGACAGTTCCTTTGAATCCTTTCTGTTTGTAATTTCCATGCTCTCACAATTCACTCTGGGTACTTCCAAGAATCCAAGGATGCAGGTTTTGCTAACAAAGGAGCTTACTACTCTCAGACTACTACAAAAGGACAACTTTTGAGCCATATGACACAAAAAGGGTGATTAAAAAAAGAAAATATTCCATTTCCATCCTTAAAAATTCTCCTATTACCATGCCAAGACCTGCTCTGTGCTTTCACTCCTTTATTTGAACATTTAGACTGAAACATGGTCTCTGTCCTGTGCATCAGAGGTGAGTGAGTTCATTTTTTGGGGCGTCAAAGGAACTTGAGGCTGTGGCAATACTGGATATGAGCAAACAGACTTCTAAATATTTAATGTCTATGTTTTATTTGAGAGTTTCTCCGTCTACTTCCAGTTGACATTTATGAAAAATGATCATTGTTGCAATTAATTGGACCTTTTTTAACGTGTTTGTTAGTGGACAGTCCTGCAGCAGCTGAGCTGATGGGAGGCAATAACAGACCAGCAGGGACCAGATGGTTGGTTCAGCAGGGGGGAGGACACCAAGAGTATCTAGCCAATGCCTATGAATAAAATCCAGGTTGGTGAAAACTTTAGACACAGTGTCTCATTGTCCATTCCTCTTATTTTCTGTATTGATTTTTCCTCGCGGGGACACCCTGGACAGGTCACCAGTCCATCAAAGGGCCACACAGAGACTATAAAGAAAATTAATGTTAAACAACATATCATATCAGTAATATGGAATGACTAAAAAAATACTATTATCTAATATTTCAACATTCTATGACTGTAAACCCATTTTCTACACTGAAAAGCTGTAGAAAAGCTAGCAGGAACCGGGGGAAGTAGGTTGTGTCCTCTGGCAACAACTGACAGCACACTGACAAAGAGCTCCATCCATCAGAAGGAGAGAAGAGACAAGATGTCGGCATCGATTCAAAAGTCATCCAACTCCTGTCGAACTAGCCCTGTTCAGAGAAAACCGACTAGTTTCCCAACAAATTGAATGCTGATCTCAAGAGCCCCTCAGGCTCACCGGTGGCTGCATCTGGCTGCACCGATTCCCACAAAGACACTTTGTGTGGTCATACTGAAAACCCAGTGATACTTTTGTTACTTTTAAGGCATGCTGAGAAATTATGCTATATACCAGTTAAACTGATGGGTGGAAATTTAATTCTTAAGCCATTTGAGATTTTTCAGCTCCGATTTTGCTTCATTTGCCATTCAAACGCAGCTAAACATTTCTTACCAGCAGAGATTACATAGTATTAAAGAATCATAATGCGTTGCATTCCACACAGTCTTTCCTTCTGAGAGTCAAATTTGAGAGAAAGTGTTTTCCAGACTTGACATATGAATCAGTTAATGGCAGAGCTGGGGACAAGTTATTACCGTTTTAAGGACTTTACCTATATAAACATACGGCTGCAATTCAAGACCGATAATGAGAAATCATCCCATTCCCCAGGAGGCAATTAAAAATGCTCACATCACAGAAACCAATCAATTTCCATTTGAGCTTGTGAAAAGAGAGGGAAAGCCAAGTGTATGGAACATATTCCAACAAGTTAATTACTTGGCTTAAAGTGAGCTTTACTTACACAGAAAAAGGCTGACATTTTTTTTTTTTTAATGGGCGGTAACTACCGAGTGGAAACAACAAGAAAAAGGTATTCAAGATAAGACCAAAGGTTATGAAATGGACAACAAAGGCATTCCAGAGAGCACAAATGCCCTCTGGTATCTTCTATCACGTGATACAAAATAGCAAAAAAATGAGGCAAGGGCTGGAAAATAAAGGAGTTGGGTTTGAAGGTTATTTTTAGATAAACGCAATGCTTAAAAATCAGAGAGAAATAAAAAAAAAAGAGACACATGCATACACTTCAGCTATTCACACCAAATATGCACAATGCACAAAGATGCACGTGTTAAACTAGTGTAAATCTCTTTGGAATGAAACGAGCCATGTCTTACTGCACAGTGTTTTTTTTTGTTAACCTTGGCGAACTACAGTGTTACCCGACATTAAGATAACCAGCACTGCAGACCTTTCAGTCTCCTTGTACACACGCGAAGTATTTATTCCAAGGCATGTCTTACAAATAACAGTTTCCACTCTGAAAGGGGCCCGCACACGTTCCCCTTTGATTAATTTTTCATCAGTACACATGTCGGAGTTGCAGCCAGAATGGGAGCGCAAGGGCAGGTCTCTTTATTCAAAGAGGCTAATAAATGATGAATCAGTTCAAACATAAGGTGACTGGCTGAGCAAGAACCTCTACCCGATGTTTTGACACGTGTGCAACATGATTGTTTGATCATTTACAGTTAATCTAATGAGTAAGGCTGAGCTGATGGAATCTGTATTTATGGTGCAGTGCATTTGTTTACGTTTGAGCGACAAGAGAAGTCATTATGTTAAAGCTTTTACACAAAGGAGACAAAGAGCCTGGCATTAACCTGCAGATACAGCAAATCCAGCATTTAACTGAGGTTAGATGTGGGTTGATGCACAGCTTCTGCTTTTACTGTAATTATAATTCCAAGGCTTTTAGGAATTTGTCATTCTGGCTGAGTGCTAAAGCTGTGTCTGGTATATTTCTAAATTCAAAAGAGTGCACACTCGAAACAGAGTCAAACATTTAAAAGATAACGGATCCCGCAAAAATGACATTTCAATCTCACTCGAAAGAAAACGGTCTTGATCACTTTGTAAATGAAATTCTACTCATGAAAATGTATTATTTCAGCCATCGGTCTGGTGGTAGAAAATGTTTCTGTATGTTTAGTCTTTTATGAGCCCAGTCGTTTCTCACTTGC